ATTATGCTTTTTATTTCGATTTTCTTACGGGCTCAAAAATATCTCTCACTGAACGAACAAATTAACAACTATAAGGATTCGATAAGTGTTTCGTCCGCCTCTCGCAATATCGGAAGTATAAACTCTTTATACTAGCATCCCTCTACTACGTGATTATATCACCTCTAATAGCTGATGCTTTTGCGCAAGCTAAAGAATAAAATAATCTTGCTACAACGTTAAGCTTTATTCAATTCTGCACTAAATCTTGTTACAACTTTGACTACATAGTCAAATCAATCATCCATCAGTTCATCAAGATCATTTCTAAATTTGGCTACTTTATCCATCGCTCCTTGCTTGGTCCAATACTCTATCTTCCCATTCAACGTTTCAATCTTAAGCTTTCTATTTCTAACGTCAAGCTCTTCCTCTTCAATCTTAAGCTTTCTCTTTCTAACGTTCGCCTCCATAATGTCTGCCTCCGCACGCTCAATATCCGCCTTCGCCTTTTTCGTCTGTGCATCTTGGATAAGTTTCTCTATTTCATCCCCATCTCCGATTGTAAACCCAAACTTGCATTTCGACAACTCAATAATTTGATCTTCTCCATCTGATCTCTTTATAGTGAAAGCATGAGAAAGCTTATCGTAGAGGAGATGCCAAGCACCAGGAACCACTTTTCTGATATCCGTTCCCATACGAAAATCTAATACAATATTTCTGGATTGGTCAATGTTCTTGTATTTGTTTTCCTGCTCAAAGCGCTCAACATGGCCAGGAATATCGTCCCCTTCGGCTGCGAGTTCTACAGCCCAATTTAATCCCGTATTTATATAGAAGTCCAGCCGACCTGGGGTTCCAAAGGTAGCACCAACATCCGGAGAGATAAAATATTCCTCTGGTAGGCATGAGTATGCCGCCTGATAAAATTCCATTTGCCACGATCTTTCTGCCAGCAACCTTGAACCGTCTTGCCTACTAAGAATCCCAAGGCTATTTTCCACAATATCCGGATCCAGTCGCTTAATTGATTCCACCAAAAAATTTTCAAATTGATCATCTTTGATGACGATTGGATTTTTCTTTCCTTGACTCAACTTTGTGAAACACATGATAAAAGTATAGTTGGTTAAGAATCCAACTCTTCCTGAATCTACAATGAAATTTTGCATCCGACCTTTATCAATGAAATGTAAATAGCCGGCTTTGCACAAGGAGGCGACAGTTTCGTGGTTGTCACTGGATGGATTGGTTTTAATGAAGTCTTTTTGTAAAACTTCTCGAAGTATTTTTTCTTCCTCCCTGTTGAAACGGTAAAGATGAGAGGCACCGCGATGTCTCTTGACATGTTCGAATAATTCTGAGGAAACGAGGTATTTCAAAATGACAACTTCGGTCGGAGGGGGAACATTATAGGATGGATCATGACAATCGTAAATATAATGAAGGATGCGACGGATCAAGCCCAGGTGACAGCTCTTAGTGTTCATATCCTCGCTACGAAGAGATACCAGATTCACGATAGCATCTTTGACGTTTTCTGTCATTGCTTCTTTCCACCCAAACTTGCGGGAAAAATCGTCCATAAGTTCGTTGTGTTCATTAGCACTAGACATCAAAAGACGTACGCCATACTTGTGGAGCAAATCAATTGGCGACGCTGTAATAGGAGCAGGATCCATGTCAATATCACCCCGTTCGGAATCTATTGGATATACGGCGAACATAATAAGACGTAAGTTGGTGTCCTTGTTCATTTGCTCTCCTCGCACCCAGTTCCAGAATTGCGCGAACTTGGAACCGCTATACGTGATCTGAGTCTCGTCCATAATGATATAAACCTGACCATTTTGCAATGATCTTTGCCATTCCCAGTATGTTCTTCCCGTCTGAATTTTCCAATAGTCTTCGTAAGTGATATCAGAGTTAACCATAAAGGAGATATTACTGATGCTGACGGCTTGATCGTTCACGGTTATTATCTCCTCTAAATGTCTTTCCAACAGCTCGCACATCGAAGTTTTACCGCTGTATCTCGGGCCACGGATAAGCATGATATGGTCATCTTTGACATTTTCAATGATCCATTGAGTCGTCCTTTTTCTGTACGTGATAGGTTGTGTAAGATCTTTTTTGTTTTTCAAATCAAGGCCGTCTTCGGTCCAAAGATCTCTCAGTTTGATTCCGGAAGTCACGGTCAATGAATTTGTAGTTAGAACCTCGTTGTGTTGAGGATGAACTGCAATATTGGAGGATTGTGCCACACTCGAAGCAGTAATTGAGTCGTTAGCTGGATGCAGTTTTGTAATATGATCATGAAGCTTATTAGCTGCTATAGGTTTTTGGTTGTTGTTGCATAGCTTGCAGTAATATTTGCCGTTACGTTTTGTATAATGTTCCATGATGTCCATTATGCTTTTTATTTCGATTTTCTTACGGGCTCAAAAATATCTCTCACTGAACGAACAAATTAACAACTATAAGGA